CTTTAAGCGTGAATGAATCTGCTGAAGGGCTGAGGGAGCCCAAACCAGTGTTTTCTGCATGCTACAGGGTAGAAAGTAGGTCACTTAGTAAGTGAAAAGGATGGAAATGATGGGCTGAACCGAGTGCTGAATGCACATTTAAAACTCGAGTTTCCAGGGAAAGAAGACAAAAACCCCAAACAAACAGCTGGTGATCAAAAGCAGGTACGTGAACAGCTGGGAAGCTCAGCTCTGTGGGTCTGGAGGCGCACGCACACGTTGCCTGAGTCATCGGCAGTTTTAGCATGCTTGAAATTCACAGCTGACACTGCAGGTACCAGGACACGTGTTCTGCTGGTGTTTGCTGATGACCCTGGTAACAACTGTCCCTAAATTGGTCATCCTTGGGGAAAGTGTGGCTGCCGTAAGTGCCTGGGTGGCCAAGGAGAAACAGGCAGGGCTTGCTATGGGGAGTAACAGGACGGATTCAGTGCCTCAGGTTAGCGAAGGATTTGAGGCAGCTCCTTGCTCGGCAACCCGCGTGTACGTGCTGCATCTCTGGCTGGAAAACGGCCGCTGGCTCATCCTCACGTCAGCGCAGCACCCGCGGGCAGGCCAAGCCCATAGCCAGACCCTTGTGGTACCGTGGAGTCCGTGATCCCTACAGGAAACGAGTAGGCGGTTCTGAATCTGGCTCAGGGACGGTCTCTCTTGCCAGCAAGTTTGCCGTTTGTGCCCTATTCCTTTTTGAAGCCTTAAAAATAGAGACCGAGGCCGGGAAGCCGGAGGGTTTTTCTAGGGCTCGTTGTGGAAGCAGCCCAGGCTGGGCTGCCCCTCGCCCTTCCCGGCCCCCGGGAGAGGCATGGGAAGCTGGCATCCAAATGCCTCCCCTGGATGTGGAGCCTCACTCGTCAGCTTGTTCGTTTGCAGCGGTTCCCCAGGTCTCCTTTCGGGATGCAGGCAGCTGGAGGCAGCCGGTTCAAAGGCCAGGCTGGTCAGGAAGAAGCGAGGGAAGTGTGGGAAGTCACTGCGTGTCA